GAGGCGTGAAGGCCTCGAACTAGTAAAAGCTGATCTCATTACAACTTTACTTGCAGGTCGATCTTAATAGTAAATATAATTGAAATTATAATATAATTGAAAACAGCATTTATGTCCATTTGGATTGCTATTTTAAGAGTTTTTGTAGAAAAATATACTGTAACGAATTGATATATGTGAGATAAAAATGTAATTGAAAAATATATTTTTTGAAAGCTTAAAAATTTTCCCAAACTTTTTTAGTGAAGATTAGATGTGTCATATGTTTTGTATTTATCCAAGAAGTAGCCTGATTCTATTGATCACATTCCCCTCCTCCCAACAATTGTACCCTCTCTTCAGTGGCTCCTCCGCGAAGGAGTAGTTACGGGGTAGTACCCTTTGATCACATCTTAATTATTGTGCGAAAATCTTTATAGCAGAGCTCCTTATGGGAAGTTAAGCACTATTCAAAAAAAGCATCACGAGAACTAGGGTGCAAACGAAACGAATTGAATTTTGATCCAATGGAATCGAGTGTCAAATTAATTTTACGAAACTCGAACTCGAGTTCGAATTCAACGAATTTAAAATGTCAAGTTCGAACTTAAAAAAATAAAATTTATTTTTAAAAAATAAATAAAATAATAATTTTTCTTAATAAATAATAAAATATTAAAAAAATATATGTAATTTTACTATTAAAAATATATATATATATATATATATAATCGAGTTCGCGAGCAGTCCACGAGTTAACGAATTTAGTATTTTTGAATTCGAATTCGATTTCATAAGTTCGAAATCGATTCGAACTCGTACTCAAGCCTCTCGTGATAGGCCAATCGCGAGTGGATCGATTTGTTTGCAGCCGCAACGAGAACGACGCTAGGCATTTATTAGTTAGTAAGGTGAATGTATATCACGAAATCGTGGTTGGATAGTAGGGGTGGCAATCGAGTTCAAATCAGGTTGGCAAATCTGTTGATTCGAACCCGACCCGTCAACCCACGACGGGTCAGGTATGCTGACCCGAATCCGAAAATTTCGGGTTGGCGGGGGTCGATTTGAAATGATCTGAAACTTGATTTTAATTTATTAATTTATCACTGTAATTTCTAATAAAATCAATTTCTCACAAAACTAATTACATAATCAAGTAATAAAAATTTAAATAAATAATTTCAAACCAAATCTAAAATAAATTAAACACCGTAAAAGTGTTTTATCCCAAACAAAATATAAAATAAATTAAAACAGTATAAAAGTAAAAAATAATATTTGTCCAAATATAATAATTTCAACTTCACACAAATTAAATAAATTCATTTAGAATTAAGTAATTAATGCCTTTGAAAAAAAAGAATAACTTAGTTCAGTTAGATAAAATTATTTTTATGTTTATTAAATTATTTTTAATTCGTAAACGGATCATATCGGGTCACCACGGGTTGATCCGAAATCGACCTGTTTTCTTTTCGGATTCATCGGGTTCAACTCGATTCTGATCCGAATTCTCGAAATCTCAACCCAAACCCATTAATTTCGTATTAGATTCGTGTCGTATTTTCAGGTCGCGTCGAAAAATTGCCACCTCTATTGGATAGTTGTCTGTATTTAAACGGAAAGAGTTATTGAGTAAAAGGCTTGATTAGCGACGAGAAAGGTGGGTCAAGCGGGACGAAAAGCGGTGGCAGTCACCTTACGAAAAGGGAAGCAAAGGCAAGATCGCAAAATCAACTCGTGATAATACCTTCCACTCGAATTTCCATAGATGAAAGAACACTCAAATGCTTCAAATTTAAGTCCGGCTACATTTGTCTCCCACCAACACCGAAAAATGAAAATTATAAGGAGACCGGTGCTATAATTGGTACAAATATTGCCCAACTCATGAGAAACGGTTAAGAGGGACAAATAGCTAATGTGCTTTTTCCTCAAATTAGCTTAAGGTTTAGTTGGATGAACATTTCAATCTACTCTATCTTTATATATATATATATATATATATATATATATATATATATCAAAGTTTAACAATTGAAGGTTCTATTTACGTCGTTTTTTTTTTTTTTTGGGAAAGACTTTCTACCTTGACTCCGGGCTTTATTATGTTGAAATAAAATGTAGTAGAGAATCCTCGATTTAAAGCTGGCAGCCGCTTCCTTTTCTTTATTAGAATCAACATGGAATTGTTAAGCGGAAGTCGGTGAAGTAAACTGGAAAATTGACTAATAGGAGGGATATTCAAGAGAGTGTAAACCTGACCACATGCAACTCTTTCCAGCATTAGCCCAGGAGTTGCAGCAGAGTGGTAATACTGCTAAAAACCCTAAAAGTTAGGCCAAAAAAAAAAAAGATCCTAAAAGTTTTAGGATGGTCTAGCTTCGATTATGTGTTGATGATGTTCATAGCCTTTTTAAAAAATCTGCAATTTTAGTAAAAATCAAATTAACGTTTCTTTTTTCTTTCTTATTCTCTTTTGATTAAAGAAACACACTTAAGATTTTCTTCATTCATTAAGGTCAAAATACCGGACTACGACGCAAGTAAACCAGCAGCCCTGTACAGCACTAAAGTCTGGCAGTCGGATCGATTTTTCAAAGTCTTCCCAATTCTGGACTTTGTGGAGTAATTGACAGGATTCCCTGCACACACACACACACACACACTTTAGGCACGAGCAGCTGCGGGACTTTGATTCAACGCCGTATGAATCCAAAATGGTACAGTTGTTCTGTCTTGTGCTTAGATTGTTGAAAAGCGACTAAATTTTAGAGTTCTGCCTGTAGCATTAATTAATGGGTTAATTACATTTACCTCCCCTGAACTTTGATCAAATAACGAATCGATCCCTGAGATTTGACCAAATAATAAAAAGGTCCCTCAAATTGAAAGATGTATAACAGATACACCCCTCCTGTTAGTTTGTTGCCGTTGACCGTTAGGGTTAATTACATTTACCTTCCCTGAAATTTGACCAAATAACAAATCGATTCCTAAAATTTGATCAAATAACAGATTCCTCCCCCATACTAACTTCTGTCACTTATATGTAACGGAAATAGCCAAAAGTTTGAATAACCCTTATTGATTTCCATCAAATTTTTAAGGGTTAATTACATTGTGTAGCAAAGCTTTCTGCTGGTTTGATTTTACAATGGGTTACTAATAAATATAGAGTAAAACGCCAATAAAAAGCTGGTACTTCGTTTATATAATATAGGAAAAGTATAAGGAGCTGGTACATTATAGAAAGAAAAAATGCGTACTACGTTTTCAACCCTCTTATTCGTTGGAAATTTTAATTTTACTTTATCTTTTAAATAAATTATTTTTTAAAAAAATGGGTACTTTGTTCATATAATTGGAAAAAGTCGTAAAGCACTGGTATTTTATGGGATAATGGGTATTACCCCATGTAACCCAAAATTTGTCACATTATTTCACCAAATTACAAAATACATGTATGGTAAATTTTGCATTACAAGGTCTACCAGAATTTACTTTGATTTTATTTGTTAAATAAATTAATAATTTGTTGGATTCAAAATTTTATCTGTTAACCAAAATTTTTTTTTTTTGAAAACATAAAAATCGATAGGTCAAAAAATTGATGAAAATCAATAAGGGTTATTCAAACTTTTGGCTATTTCCGTTACATATAAGTGACAGAAGTTAGTATGGGAGAGAAATCTGTTATTTGGTCAAATCTCAGGAATCGATTCGTTATTTGGTCAAATCTCAGGGGAGGTAAATGTAATTAACCCATAATTTTAACAGTCAACGGCAACATACTAACGGGAGGGGTGTATCTGTTATAATCTTTCAATTTGAGGGACCTTTTGGTTATTTGATCAAATTTCAGAGATCGATTCGTTATTTGATCAAACCTCAGGGGAGGTAAATGTAATTAACCCTTAATTAATTAAGTCATTATCCTGTTACCCGTCCTTTTATCCCAGGGACAAATAATTTGTCATTTGATCGAAACGGAACTTGTGACGCCGCATCCACTCTTTTGAATCGCCTTCGGACAAGTAGTCCAATAATGATGATATCATCAAGTACACATGACATGGGGGGACCGGCCGCGACGGGAGTTAAATTCATTAATTATTTATTTATTTATTTTTGATAAGAATTCATTAATTATTGACTTTGTCCACCGGGCAGTTTAACCGGGACCGCATGGACCTGTGGTCCTGTACCAGTTACTACTAATAAGTCTAATATACAAAGACTTTTCGTCCTACAGCATTTATTCATTCGTTTATTCGTCCACCTGATGTCTAAGTCAACCAATTCCCGGTGGTAAACGGCTAAAGCCAGAAAACAGAAGCAACAGGAAAGGTTGTTACTATAACAAACGCGGTACTCCTCCTTTTTTTTTTAGTAATTTTTTTTCGGAAACGATAGAAGAAACGCGGTGCTCATGATGATGGCGCATGTATCATTCATGGCGCGGACTCCCACGAACCTTCATTCTTTGCATTTTTTTTTTTTTTTTAATCTTTGGGTGTTATTTTATGTGAACCAAAAAAAAAAAAAAAGAGAAATTGTCATTAGCGCAGCTTTACGAGGATGCCACCGTTTCAAAGCATTGAACTTGACTCCCGCCTCCACCCCCAGAGAAAAATTATTATTATTGTTATTTTGATAATTTATTTATTGCAGAGACCTATAATTCATACGAGGGGTTGATTGTTTAAATTGAGCCATTAATGTGGTGTACCGAAGATAATATGTTCAATCGTGGTACATTGCAATTAGAAGTAGCAGACTGCTGGGGAAGGGCAGGGATCCCATTCAAAAATATTAAGACCCGTTTGAAGAATGAATTCTTGTAATTTTTGGAACATTTCTGTGTACATGTTTCAATCGCATCGTGTTATGTTTCTTTGTTACATATATACCACATGGCTATAGAATACTCTAAAAGACAAAAAAAAAAAAAAAAAAAAAATTCCAAGAAGTTACAATCCAAATAAATGGAAAGTGTATCAGTCAAATGATCCTACTTGATCAGCCATAATCTTTGCTCAGGTGGATATTTAGAGAACCAGGCTGATCCGTCGAATGAGATTTCCGGTCGATGAATAGAGGATGCTGCATTTACGATGAAGTTTAGTCGCGACTCAAAAAAAAAATTCTGGTTCCATCTTTCTTCATCTGGCCTCAATGAAACTATCTGTCATGTCATTCCCAGATGATTGTGTATATGAATCAGACTGAAAGTAGGGAGTGCCAGAGCGATTTAAGGGGCTGATATCTGAACTGCTACAGTTGAGAAATGGTGGCTGAGTTGGCTGAGCAATCTCATGCTGATTGTTCAGCATTTTCACAACAACAGACATGGACGGTCGGAGTTCTGCAGATGCCTGTACACAAAGCAGGCCTATTTGTAGCAGTCTGGATGCCTCCTCTATTATGAAATTACCCTGCAGTGATGCTTCCACTGCTTCGCCTAGTTTTCCTGTTCCGTACAGCTTCCATGCCTGTAAAAAATATATATATGTCAGACTCATCGGTATTCATGCTTGCAGTTAGTTGTTATGGAAAACTTGTATGTCCCAAGACTACCTTTTGCAGGACAGAAAATGAATTCTGAGAGACAGCATTATTGTTTCTTTTTCCACAAATTACTTCTATGACAAGAACTCCAAAACTATAAACATCTGCTTTCTCGGTCAACTTTCCACGAACTACATACTCCGGAGCCATGTAGCCACTGCAAGTGAGGAGTTGAATAAAAAGGTCATTCATCCATGACAGCGAGCAATTTGGGTTTGTAAGCGGCTCAGCAAGCCAAAGCAAAAGGCAAGAGAATCAAAATCAACAAAAAGAAGGCGCTTTACTTACAGTGTACCAGCAATGGCAGTACTGATATGAGTCTTGTCTTCCGGGAATAATCTAGCAAGACCAAAATCAGCTATTTTTGGTGTGAATGACTCGTCTACAAGAATGTTGCTCAATTTTATGTCTCTGTGTATAATCCTCAACTTTGATTCTTCATGAAGAAATGCCAGGCCCTCGGCTGTACCTAGTATAATTTTGTACCTATCCTCCCAGCTCAGTGGCTGAACATTCTTCTTAACTAAAGCAAACAGATGCAATCAGTCAATACAAAATGAGGGCTACAAAGACAATTATCAGTGGAGTTTAGCGTAAGTTACCAACCAAATATATGATCATGAAGACTCCCATTTGGCACATACTCGTACACAAGGAGGCTCTCCGGCCCTGTGATGCTACAACCGAGCAGCTGCACTAAATTCTTGTGCTGAATGCCGCTTATCAGATTGACCTCGTTAAAGAAATGATCTACCCATTGAGTTGTATTGAAGAACAATCTCTTTACGGCAACAGCCTGACCATTTGGCAGAACACCCTGTAGGGAACACAAAAACACATCAGATAAGGATATAAAAACATTTTGCTTCATAAGGGGGGGGGGGGCATTATTTATTGCTCTACCTTTGGGGGGGCAAAAAAAAAAAAACCCCCCGGTATTTCTGTTAAAATTGTTAATCATGCCAAAATTTGCTTAGTTTATCATTGAAGGATAGAGGCATTATTAGGAGAGATGCTATGAAAAGAAAATTACTTTGTAAACAGAACCAGATCCACCTTGACCCAATTTATTGGCATTGTTAAAGTAGTCTGTTGCCCTCTCGAGTGTTTCATAAGAAATGTTGAGCCTGGACTTGTTAACCGTCTGCAAAAGAGCACCTAGTTGCTTCTTTTCTACAACATGAGAGCAGTTTATGTTAAATCTCAGGCTTCAGTTAACATCAAAAATAAAAGATAAGTAAATTTCAGGACTTCAGTACCTCTTTTCTGTTTCATAACTCTCTTCTTTGCAAAGAATGAGATGAATGCTAATATTAGCAAAAAAGCAACAGCAGAAAATGTTGCAGCAAGAATAATAGCCACTCGGCGAGATCCTCCTATCAAAATCAACCTGTATTAGTACTCCAAATTCATGGTCCACAATATGAATTACCTAAAGAAAACTGAGCACGACTATGGTCAATTTCACAAACAAACATCCTCTGATAAAGACACAAAGTGTACGCTCCATAAGGTATACATGAAACTCTTCTCCATCTGACTTGTGCAGGAAATCATTTACCCAATGCAGAGAGGTGCTGTGAGATGGTGAAGGGGAGAGCTCATCTCATCGAATCAATTAAGTGACATGTTTGCAGATATTCAATGTAACTTCTGGCAAAATAAGAAATTAAATTAAGAGAAAAATCACCTCCATTTCCGGAAGGAGCAGTGGTTGAGGAATTGTCATAGAACTTCTTCGTTGAGTACCTGAGATAACAACCAGCATTTAACACTCTCCCTTCATCCTTAGGAGGACAAGAACCAATCCTAGAGACAGAATCTTTCAAACATTTTTCGCAAGAAGTTCCATTAACAAACTCCCAACACTGAGCCAATCCATAAACTGTCAAGTTCCCTCTATTCACAAATCCTTTAAAGAAACCATCAGTTTTAGGCGCCTCCACACTCATATTCCTCACCAGTTGTGCAACATTAGCTTTAAACAAACTCTGATTCCCACCAAAATCATTCACCCCGCAAACAGTCTTATCCTCTGCATCCAAACTCTCATTGAAGAACATATAATCATCATACCTCAAATAACATCCATCATAGAAAAGCCTGCCTCCACGAGTCAGCCTCTGGAAAGGGAGGCACCTAAGAATCTGTGTCTTGCACTGTGCAAAACAAAGATTACAATCAGTCTGGGACAAATCTTTCATGCACTCACCAAAAGCATAAACTGTATTATTACCAGTCCCATTGACTACACCTCCATAGCCTTGTCTTGCAACCAGGGGTGAGATTGCATCCATGGCCGCTAGAAAACTTGCCACATAAACTTGGCGATCAGATTGTGATGATGTCTTGTTGGTGCATACCAGAGCTGCCTCTGTTGCTCTTGGATCAGACAAAGACCTGATTATGTTGGAGGAGAATATTATTACTAGCATAATTAATAACAATGGAGAAGCCATCCGTGGCTTCAGAAGAAGTTAAAAAGAAAATATTCCTGATAGGGGTGTTCACTTCAGGGATGAGAAAGATTGGGACACAGTTAAGTTTTAAGACAAGACCATTTGTCAAGAAACTCAACGCTAGGAGTTCACGTGGAGATTGAGAAAGAAGCAAGTTGAAGTTGGAGAGAAGCTGACCTTAAATTTCTCATCTGGATTGGTAATATATTACTAATGTGGTGCGGATATTTTCGGAAGATGGTCAATGCCGTAAGCCTCCGATGGTACCATCAGAAGGGTTTTCAAAATTCCTTTTGAGTCCCTAATGTTTAATATAATTCAATGTCCTCCCACATATTTGCCACCTTTTGTCCCAAATTCATAAATATGATACGGCCCGGCCAAATGAAATTTTCAGGCTAAAACGATATTCTTTCCCTCAAATAAAATGACCAAACGTACTTCGGAAAACATGAACAGAGCAGGAAATTTATCTTTTTCAAGAAAGGGAAAAAAGATCTTTCTATTGAGGCTTTCTAACTAAAAGGAGATTAAAATCTGAGGGATTACTTTGAAATATTTGCAGTGTTCGTTCATTACAAAATTGGAGGCCAATTGGAGCAAATGTAGGGACCACGTCGACAAGGCCGGCTTCGAGACAAATTCTCAGACGTAATCGTATAAAGTCCCACAGCCGCAGACAGCCCATGAGGTGACGAAGACTCGAGCAGACAATCCGTTAATGTAATGGGCATTGAGTAGCAATGGGCATTCAGTGACAATCTAGTGACAACATACTTGACCTATAATAATAAGGAAAAATCGTCCAAAACGTTTCTCACATTTTATAAAATGATTTTTTTCGTCCCTCACTTTTAAAAGTGTAATTTTATGTCCCTTACATATTCACATTGGTCAAATTTAGTCCCTAACTAGGTTTCCGATCATTTTTTAAAGGTAAATTTGTCAAATTATATTTTACATAATCTAATCTATAGTTCTCCACATTTTATAAAACAAATTTTTTCGTCCTCCACATTTTATAAAACAAATTTTTTCGTCCCTCACATTACACAAAATGAATTTCTCCATCCCTCACATTTCAAAAAATGAATATTTCCATCCCTTACTAATTATGTGTGTAAGGGAAACCCTAAAAAAAAAAAATGTGTGTGAATACATTTTTATTTAAACACATGTATATGTCTATTTGATTTTACTTAATAATACGAATAGCATAAATATATGTATGTGTCTATTTGATTTCACTTAACAATATGAATACCATATATTATACGTGATCATTTGATTTTATCTGGTATTAGCTAGTAAAATATCTTGCATTCATTGTCAAGTTGGCCAATAAAACTATTTTCGGTCAAAATACAATATAAATATGCAAATTAAGGTTCTATTGGTAAATATTAGTCATAATCATACAAAAAAAGAAGATAGCCCACAAGTTGGACCCAATTACACACATGTGTTTATGCTATTATTATTAAGCAAAATCAAATAGACATATACATGTGTTTAAAAAAAATGTATTCACACACATAATTAGTGAGAAATGAAAATTTCATTTTTTGAAATGTGAGGGATAGATAAATTCATTTTGTGAAATGTGAGGGATGAAAAAAATTATTTTATAAAATGTGAGGGACGAAAAAATTTATTTTATAAAATGTGGAGGACTATAGATCAAATTATGTAAAATATAATTTGACAAATTCACCCTTAAAAAATGATCACGTGCCTTGCACATGATGGATTCCGGCCAAAAAATGATCGGAAACCTAGTTATGGACTAAATTTGACCGATATGAATATGTAAGGGACATAAAATTATACTTTTAAAAGTGAGGGACGAAAAAAGTTATTTTACAAAATGTGAGGGACGTTTTGGACGATTTTCCCTAATAATAATATGGTTAGATTACGAGTTTGAATCGTTAAATAAGTAAATAGAGAACTACTATCGATCTCTTTTTAAAAGAGAAAATATTTTGATATTTAAATTATAAAGATGGCAACATGTTTTGATTATTTTACGAATACCTCATTTTCCAGCAGTTTATGGAACTGCATTTTCTTTTATTTATTTGTTCTATTATTTTATTGATATCGATTCAGAAGTGTAGGCAATTTTTTTTAAAAAAAAAACTAATATTACATCATAAATACATATTTTAAATATTATTTTCTCAATCAACATATTTTGAGTGTGTTTGGATTGTGAGTTATTTGGCCAAAAATATTTGCTTACATCACCATTACAATTTTCAATACACCTTTTTATCTTTCTAATTAACTTTTTATCTCACATATATCACATCACAAAAAGTGCTACACTAAAAATATCTCAAATAACTTACAAACAAACACATAGCTAATTATCTCGTATGTTATGGTATCATAAAAGCAAGCGTTACACCAATCCAAACAACTTAACTTGAAAAAGCATTTCAAGCTCAATCCAAACAACTTATAAATTTTTTTAATCCTTTGAATACTTTTTGAGTCTGTACATAGTAAAAACTCATATCTAGAGGTGGCAATTTGGATTGAAATCCAGTTATCCATCCATATAATTCATAATTAAATGGATTTGGATTATCCATTTATAGTGTTGGTTTTAAATGGTTGATCAAAGTAAAACCATTAAATTAAATGGATTTACATGGATTATCCACAGAAACCATATATATCCATTTATTTAAAAACCAAATAAAAAGAAAGGAAAGGAAATGACTAAAACACAAGAGTCCGCTAGTTTCAGAGTCCTGATGTTGTGTCCCTTCTTGCAACTCTCCAAAAAACTGACGCAAAAGAAATTCCAAATATACTTCTGTTCTACGGCCATTAACCTCAGTTTTATCAAGAAAAACTTAGGTGAAAGCTCATCTGACAATTTAAGACTAGTAGAACTTCATTTGCCAGACGTTCAAGCTCAATCTCAGTGGCATTCTTCACGCAACTTCTCACTGACGACGTCATACAAAAAAGTTGTACCTCAAATCAGCAGGTAAAAAAGCACAGGTCCAACATCATAAGAATAATTTACATGAATCAGTGATCATTAATCTATTTAAACAAGACTAATTTGTTTAGCTATTCACGAAGGCGTTGTTACTAGCACTATGCTTATTATGTTTATGAAGTGCTTGATGAAATTCCCTTGAGAACGTTGAATCCAATATTTGTCTTGCATAAAATCTAGTATTCCATGCTGGTCCATTCAAAATTTCAAATTTGGACTTGTCCACAGGAACCGAAAAGAATGTTATTTTTGAATTTAAAGAGGATACAACTGCTTTGCAATTCCTTAGAACTAGTCTGCATTGGGCAATGAAGCCCGCAGCCTTTAGCGAGTGTAAACGATTGGTTTGTGATGCCATCACTTGCATTCCACACGACCATGCTCAACTTGCTGTCATGGCAGAATGTGTGTAATACGTCAGCCATGGTAAACAGGAATGGACCTGATACCAAATTCCATCTAAAGCAGTCTATTGCATGCCAAGTATAGGGAAGTGGATGTATAACCATATAACAATCAGAGTACCTAAAATTTGTCCTCTTTCTCATTCAAGTACACCTAAAATTTACAAGTACATAAAAAAGTATCTTCATATTACAAGAAATGGTAATGCAAAAAAAAAAGTAACAAAAATATTTAAATGGATTATAAATGGATAATTGGTTTGTATTTAATCCATTTAGATCCATTTAATAAATGGATCTAAATGGATTGGATAAATTTCATCCACCATCCATTAAATCAAAATCAATTATGAACCATTTATCCATATTGCCACCTTTACTCATATCAGACTTCCGAACGGAGCAACCTGGGATGGGTTTTTAGTCCGTGGGGAGGATGGAACTCTTTGGAGGAAAGGTGGGCAGCGGATTGTCCGTTGGCCCGATGACGCTGTAGAAGCATTTTGTCAAAATTACTACAAGGACAGAGCCCCTTTTTTGTCAATTTTTTTGTTCGTCTGAAAGCGAGGGTTTGTTTGGATTGCTGTTTATTTGCCAAAATATATTTGCTTGCATCAGCATTACAATTTTCAACACACCTTTTTATCTTCTCAATTACCTTTTTATCTCACATACATCACATCACAAAAAGTACTACAGTAAAAATATCTCTAATAATTCACAATCCAAACAAAAATATCTCTGATTGAAGGTGATCTTCTGTACGAAACGAATGTCAATAATATGCTTTTGAAAGTGAGTTGTCAAAGTTCTAAAACCGAGCGTCCAATTTTGGGCATCTTTGAAGACGACACCCGAGAAAAGAAAGCTTGCTCAGTAAACAAAACTGAAAAGGATTGCAGAAACCAACCAGAATGGCGTGTGGGGTCGGTCGGTCAATAACGCTGAACGTCAACTGGTTGCAGCATACTTGTATGTCACGCGACTACGGTCGACCACAGGTCTGGACTGTGGAGGAGGAGACTCACAATAACATGGGCCCTTTTCGTGGATTCGGTTTTTCTGGTCCTGAGCTATATGATCACCCTTTCATAGGTTTCAATGTTGTCGTCTGATGGAAACCGAAACGGGTCCCATATTCAACCCAGTATTTGAGAAGAGGGCCCGTAATGTGTCCAGCCGCCTTGTTGTAGTGGGCGGCCACAAATCAGTACCCGCGTTCTTCAATCACGATGAAAAATTAATCGTCTCTCTCTTTATCTTTGTCTTTCTTTTCTTTTCCTTTTTTTTTGAGAGGGCAAAAAAAAAAAAAGAGTCGTTGAGATCAATTGCGTGGAGAATTTTCCAAAGCGTGCTCCTCGCATTGTGCAAATTCTGTACATATATATATATATATATATATATTTGGTATAACTCAGAGGTATTCGCATTTATTTTACGGTCTGCGACTAATCCTATTCGAGTCGGATCGGATCTTTTGCGGGGAAGTTCTACTAACATTGTTCTTTTCATTCCCATGAATTTCAAATTCGAGAGCTCATGGTTAAGGAATGCAAACTCCTTCCGCTTGTGCCAATATCCGTTGGTGCAAATTTTGTATGATGTATAGTTGTTACATGAAAGAGAGAGAGAACAAATTTTGTAGATGTTGATTTTTTGGTGTTGCAACCTAGACAGATCACAGAGCCTGAGTGCTGCAGCCACTTATGGGCTTCCCATTGGACAAATTAGATTCTCCTCTTTCAACTTTTCATCG